TCCTGCTTGTCCCAATTTGGATGAATCTCCACCAAATGGGGCTTTCTCTAGAGGCCAGAGAGCCGAGTGAGGGACACATGCCAACAGTTGTGTTTTTCAGCCCTGCCCTGTTGTCAGAAGCAGAGAAGTTCACCTTGTTCATCAAGAACAGCATCACCTTCCCCAGGTTCAAGGTGTCCAGGTAAGAGGAGGTTTGGGGGGACAGCTTCTGCTCAGTTCACTCAGCCATGTCCCTAAGGGGAAACAGTGGGTGTAGCTGGATGCTTGATATAGAGGATGCTGTCCCTCACCAGCAAGCCTAGGTCTACTCTAACTACTGCGCCGATCACCACATTAGCTGATAGGAACTGTGACATTTCCCTCCCAAATCTGTCCCACCTCAGCCGGTAGCTGTGGTTACAGGAAAGAAGGTTTCTGGAATTAATATCCCCTGAGTTACCCTCATATGATGCACTTTAAAATACAGTTCCTCTGATTCTTCATTTTTCTTCTCCCTTTTCCTCCCTGAAGATAACAGTAAAACACTAAATGCCTCAGTGGGGTGTGAGCAGCCAGGATGAGCTTGCTGCCCAAAAATGAGCAGAGGCCCCTCTTACCGTCGCGGTTCCCACCTGTTTCTGCAGCAGGTTGTAGGGTCAGCCCCTTCCAGGCAGCGCTGGAAACAGTGCCGCTGGCTGAAGGCGCACACGTAAGAGGATTTGTGATGACACTGATTATATATCTGATTTGGAACAAATTAACAGAAGCAATTTGTGCTGAAGACAGCAGATTCTTCTCTCTAAGCCGATCGCATCCCCGCGCTGCAGCCAAGGTTAAATGCCCTGGCAGCCAGCACCCTTGGCAAAGTCTCAAGCTGGCCTTGAGCTGCACCCCAAGAGGTGGCTGGGAGAGGGGATCCCCCACCAGCAGCAAGGAGAGGCAGCAACCTGAGTGAGGGCAGGCAGGAGGGGGGATGCGATGAGGGACAGCATGTCCTGGGAGGTGAGGGCGGCCAGGCTGGCTGCCATTGCAGGGGCTGAGCCAGAGCCAGCTGGGGTCATGGGAAAACTTCCTGCCTTTGATCACTGCTGCTAATTAACTGCTGAGCATAAATGATGGGATGGGGTTGAGCAAGGCGCAAGGCTTACAACACCATCTGGGTCAAGAAGGCTTCACAGAAAGACTATTTTTAGGCAAAAGAGCAGAGTGAGGTGGAAGGCAAGACATTGTCCTTCCCTTTCCACCCTTTCTGGAGGAGATGGCAAAATCCAGCTGAATGTAAAAGCTGTGGGATATGCTGTCCATGAGCTGTCCTAGAGGAAAACTGTTGGTGCATGGAGCATTGCCTGGCAGAACCCATGGACGAGCTGACATGCGAACGGGAGAGGCAGCTGGGAGGGATGGTGGAGGCCATGGAAGGGTTTGCGAAGCTGAGGGACGAGAGAGGGGGTTGCTAGAAGAGGTGAGGACAGGCAGACTTGTCCTGAAGAAATGGGTTTGGGCAGCAGGCAAAGCAGCAAACCCAAAGCAGAGGTGGAGACCATTTGCAGGAGAGAAAACAGCAGAGAGGCTTCCTCTGCAAGAGGGGATTCAGGGGACACGAGTTGCTGATGGGGTGGGAGAAACCAGGCAGGGCTGGAGGAAAGGGCCCACTCTCCATGTGCAGGGTCTGCTGAGCACGTGGGGGAGGAGGACGAAGCCCTCAGCTTTGCAGTTACCTGGCTTTGAGCAATGGGTTGGACCAGGGACTTCCAGAGGTCCTTTCCCATCCAAATTATTGCGTTATTCAGACTCTTTCTCACTCTCTTTTCCTTCACAGGCGCAACTTGGTTGAGGGCGTTACCAAACAGTATCTGAAGAAATGCACCTATCACAAAGTCACCGATTCCTTATGCCCTGTGTTTGACCTGGGATACGTGGTGAAGGAATCGGGCCAGAATTTTACCTTCCTGGCTGTTAAGGTACTTCAATTTCAAATGATGTTTCTCGCTGACATGGGGAGTGGGACACTGACAGAGCGATCATGCCCAAGCTGTTGAGATGCGAGGGATCTGTTTTCTCAAGGACTCGCGAGGCAGTGTCAGAATTAGCTCCTAAAGATTATGAATCCTCCTGGGCATGGCCTAATACTTAAGCCTTTCTTGGAAACTCCCCTGTAAGATTGACAAGATTTGACCTGCTCGCAATAAATCCAGGGTTCAGTTTGTTTTAATTTGTGCAATGAATGGCTAGAGCTGCGTGGCCAAATCCCATCTGATTGACCTTGGAAGCCTCGGCTGGATGGTCAAATACTGGTCATTGCACAATGCAAACTGCAGCCTCTCCCCAGGCTTGGAAACGCAGCTTTGCCCAATGCTTCTCAGGGTGGTATGCAAGAGTATCTGCTATTTCTGCACTGCAGAGCCTTAAGATAACTTTGCTAGGCATTAAATAAAATCAGAGGCTTGCATATATTAAAGGCGCAAAAAACCAAGTCTCTGGGGCACAGCTAGTTACAGCCTGGACCGAGCGTGGGAGGGACTGCTTCATTTCCTAGCAGAAAACCTCTTAAAGGAGGTTTACGCCGTTGCCTTTCCCTGTACATCTCCTCACCCTTGCAGACTCTCCTGCTCAGCTGAGCTCTCAGGAAGCCCCTTGAAAGACTGGAGATGGTGCAAGGTCATCTCACGTGTCATCACACTTCAAAGCATTCAGCCACAGCATGACATTTAGGCATAAGCTGCTGCTCTGACTGCTGCTCTGTGTGAAAACCTCTTAAAGGAGGTTTTCTTCTGATTTTCATGGGTTCATTTCACTCTCCTCTATGACCTTGTTAAATTGCCTTTGATTTTCCCTGTGACGTTAATGGTTTGATGGCAGGGTTAGGCCACAGGGCAGGCAAATCTTATGGGTAAAATCAGGCAAGGAAAGGCTGTCCCACTGGGACCGTGGGGGATCTGCAGTGGGCACTGTTTCTCAGGACCATGCCTTGGGCACGGGATGCTGCCCAGGAACAAGAAGGCATGAATTTAGCTGTGTATCCAGCATTTAGGGCAGAAGCAAGCGCCTCTGCATAGGGTGATGTATAGGCATGAAGTTGAGGCTGCCCAGGAGGGCTGAGACAGCAGTGGGGTTCATGTACCCTGGAGAGCCAGGGCACCTCGTAGCATCGAGAAAGGCCACATATGAGGAGAGAAGGAGTTTCTCCATGCAGGCTAAGTCCAAGGAGGTTGGGCCGAGCTGGACAACCTCATGATTCCTGTCTCGGCTGCAGGGCGGAGTGGTGGGCATCACCATAGACTGGAACTGTGACCTCGACTGGCCTGTCCGGTACTGCAAACCCATTTACCAGTTCCACGGCCTTTACAACGATGACAGCAACGTTTCACCGGGCTTCAACTTCAGGTAAGGAGATCCCTGTTAACTCTCCAGGCAGAATTGAGTGGTGACATCTTTCAGGATCCCACAGCACTCAAGGGATGGTGGAAGATCAGGGACTGTTCTCCAAAATACTCACTGCCAGACAGCAGTGCTCTCTTTAGAATGGCATGAGGAAAGTAATAACCCATCTCTTGGTGTCAAAATTACGCCGTTGCCTTTCCCTGTACACCTCCTCACCCTTGCAGACTCTCCTGCTCAGCTGAGCTCTCAGGAAGCCCCTTGAAAGACTGGAGATGGTGCAAGGTCATCTCACGTGTTCCCACACTTCAAAGCATTCAGCCACAGCATGACATTTAGGCATAAGCTGCTGCTCTGACTGCTGCTCTGTGTGAAGCCACCACTAGTGCTGCACTAATATCTGCTGTCACGTAGCACTTGGGGTCACCACGTGTCAGCACAAGCAGGAGCTTTAGCTGCAACCTGCAGGCAGGGAAACTGAGGCACAGAGGGGAGAGGTGCCAACAGCCCAGCTCCTTCGGCGGGATTAAGGAGAGGGTTAGGACCAGGTCTGTGATAGTGCATCCCCAGACCCCTCTCCTGCTCCCACCAAGATCCTGATGCCGTTGGGTTGCAGGGGGCTGTTAGACACCCTGGCAGGCCATTAATGCTCACCATCCAATTGGACAGATACGCCAAATACTACAAAGAAGATGGGAAGGACAAGAGGACGCTCTACAAGGTGTTTGGGATCCGATTCGACATTTTGGTGAATGGCAAGGTAAGGGTGGCCAGGCGCTGGGTTTGCCTCTGGCTCCCCAGGATGACAGTGCCATATCCTCAGGCAGGTACCAGCTCTGTAACACAGCACCGGGGTCTCATGGGGCCAGGAAAACCAATGCGAGTGGTTTCCTCGGGTCAGTGGTTTTGTCCCAAAAAACATCACGATGGGTTGGGGGGGAACTGTGGAAAGTCAAAACCTTTCACTAATATTTCCAAAAGCTGAATGTTTGCACTTTTCTATTTTGTCTTTTTCTTCCCACTGGGAGAGAAGGCTTTCCTCGTTGTGTTCCCACTGGGAATATTTAAAGGGTATACTTACTTTTTTTTAATTAAAAATACAGGAAGCAAAGTAATTTCAATTTGTGTCAGCCTAAAACCAGCCTACCATATTTTTCTGTTTGACTGTTGAGCTTAAAACCAGCTCTTACCCAGCTCCTGTTTCTCTCTGTGCTGTGGTTGTGGTTTGGGTTGCTACAAAGCTATTTAGTTGAGCCCCACCTATAGCTATGGCACTTTTTTTTTTTTCCTGGGGTGGTTGTAACATATCACCTCTTTTCTCTGATTTTATTCAGGCAGGCAAATTTGACATCATCCCAACCATGACCACAATCGGGTCCGGAATTGGTATTTTTGGAGTGGTAAGTTCAGATATTTCCAGCCTCTTTATGGAGACTCAAATTATTCTCCTTGCCTGTGACATCCATGGGGAAGTGTCCCTGAGCAGCAGTGAAATACTGGTTCCCACTCAGGCAACAGGGGATGGGCAAAAGGGGGAAAGGAGGTGCTCTCCTGCCTCACTAGCTCAGGAGGATAGATTCCTGCGTCCATGAGCTGTCCTAGAGGAAAACTGTTGGTGCATGGAGCATTGCCTGGCAGAACCCATGGACGAGCTGACATGCGAACGGGAGAGGCAGCTGGGAGGGATGGTGGAGGCCATGGAAGGGTTTGCGAAGCTGAGGGACGAGAGAGGGGGTTGCTAGAAGAGGTGAGGACAGGCAGACTTGTCCTGAAGAAATGGGTTTGGGCAGCAGGCAAAGCAGCAAACCCAAAGCAGAGGTGGAGACCATTTGCAGGAGAGAAAACAGCAGAGAGGCTTCCTCTGCAAGAGGGGATTCAGGGGACACGAGTTGCTGATGGGGTGGGAGAAACCAGGCAGGGCTGGAGGAAAGGGCCCACTCTCCATGTGCAGGGTCTGCTGAGCACGTGGGGGAGGAGGACGAAGCCCTCAGCTTTGCAGTTACCTGGCTTTGAGCAATGGGTTGGACCAGGGACTTCCAGAGGTCCTTTCCCACCCAAATTATTGCGTTATTCAGACTCTTTCTCACTCTCTTTTCCTTCACAGGCGCAACTTGGTTGAGGGCGTTACCAAACAGTATCTGAAGAAATGCACCTATCACAAAGTCACCGATTCCTTATGCCCTGTGTTTGACCTGGGATACGTGGTGAAGGAATCGGGCCAGAATTTTACCTTCCTGGCTGTTAAGGTACTTCAATTTCAAATGATGTTTCTCGCTGACATGGGGAGTGGGACACTGACAGAGCGATCATGCCCAAGCTGTTGAGATGCGAGGGATCTGTTTTCTCAAGGACTCGCGAGGCAGTGTCAGAATTAGCTCCTAAAGATTATGAATCCTCCTGGGCATGGCCTAATACTTAAGCCTTTCTTGGAAACTCCCCTGTAAGATTGACAAGATTTGACCTGCTCGCAATAAATCCAGGGTTCAGTTTGTTTTAATTTGTGCAATGAATGGCTAGAGCTGCGTGGCCAAATCCCATCTGATTGACCTTGGAAGCCTCGGCTGGATGGTCAAATACTGGTCATTGCACAATGCAAACTGCAGCCTCTCCCCAGGCTTGGAAACGCAGCTTTGCCCAATGCTTCTCAGGGTGGTATGCAAGAGTATCTGCTATTTCTGCACTGCAGAGCCTTAAGATAACTTTGCTAGGCATTAAATAAAATCAGAGGCTTGCATATATTAAAGGCGCAAAAAACCAAGTCTCTGGGGCACAGCTAGTTACAGCCTGGACCGAGCGTGGGAGGGACTGCTTCATTTCCTAGCAGAAAACCTCTTAAAGGAGGTTTACGCCGTTGCCTTTCCCTGTACATCTCCTCACCCTTGCAGACTCTCCTGCTCAGCTGAGCTCTCAGGAAGCCCCTTGAAAGACTGGAGATGGTGCAAGGTCATCTCACGTGTCATCACACTTCAAAGCATTCAGCCACAGCATGACATTTAGGCATAAGCTGCTGCTCTGACTGCTGCTCTGTGTGAAAACCTCTTAAAGGAGGTTTTCTTCTGATTTTCATGGGTTCATTTCACTCTCCTCTATGACCTTGTTAAATTGCCTTTGATTTTCCCTGTGACGTTAATGGTTTGATGGCAGGGTTAGGCCACAGGGCAGGCAAATCTTATGGGTAAAATCAGGCAAGGAAAGGCTGTCCCACTGGGACCGTGGGGGATCTGCAGTGGGCACTGTTTCTCAGGACCATGCCTTGGGCACGGGATGCTGCCCAGGAACAAGAAGGCATGAATTTAGCTGTGTATCCAGCATTTAGGGCAGAAGCAAGCGCCTCTGCATAGGGTGATGTATAGGCATGAAGTTGAGGCTGCCCAGGAGGGCTGAGACAGCAGTGGGGTCCATGTACCCTGGAGAGCCAGGGCACCTTGTAGCATCGAGAAAGGCCACATATGAGGAGAGAAGGAGTTTCTCCATGCAGGCTAAGTCCAAGGAGGTTGGGCCGAGCTGGACAACCTCATGATTCCTGTCTCGGCTGCAGGGCGGAGTGGTGGGCATCACCATAGACTGGAACTGTGACCTCGACTGGCCTGTCCGGTACTGCAAACCCATTTACCAGTTCCACGGCCTTTACAACGATGACAGCAACGTTTCACCGGGCTTCAACTTCAGGTAAGGAGATCCCTGTTAACTCTCCAGGCAGAATTGAGTGGTGACATCTTTCAGGATCCCACAGCACTCAAGGGATGGTGGAAGATCAGGGACTGTTCTCCAAAATACTCACTGCCAGACAGCAGTGCTCTCTTTAGAATGGCATGAGGAAAGTAATAACCCATCTCTTGGTGTCAAAATTACGCCGTTGCCTTTCCCTGTACACCTCCTCACCCTTGCAGACTCTCCTGCTCAGCTGAGCTCTCAGGAAGCCCCTTGAAAGACTGGAGATGGTGCAAGGTCATCTCACGTGTTCCCACACTTCAAAGCATTCAGCCACAGCATGACATTTAGGCATAAGCTGCTGCTCTGACTGCTGCTCTGTGTGAAGCCACCACTAGTGCTGCACTAATATCTGCTGTCACGTAGCACTTGGGGTCACCACGTGTCAGCACAAGCAGGAGCTTTAGCTGCAACCTGCAGGCAGGGAAACTGAGGCACAGAGGGGAGAGGTGCCAACAGCCCAGCTCCTTCGGCGGGATTAAGGAGAGGGTTAGGACCAGGTCTGTGATAGTGCATCCCCAGACCCCTCTCCTGCTCCCACCAAGATCCTGATGCCGTTGGGTTGCAGGGGGCTGTTAGACACCCTGGCAGGCCATTAATGCTCACCATCCAATTGGACAGATACGCCAAATACTACAAAGAAGATGGGAAGGACAAGAGGACGCTCTACAAGGTGTTTGGGATCCGATTCGACATTTTGGTGAATGGCAAGGTAAGGGTGGCCAGGCGCTGGGTTTGCCTCTGGCTCCCCAGGATGACAGTGCCATATCCTCAGGCAGGTACCAGCTCTGTAACACAGCACCGGGGTCTCATGGGGCCAGGAAAACCAATGCGAGTGGTTTCCTCGGGTCAGTGGTTTTGTCCCAAAAAACATCACGATGGGTTGGGGGGGAACTGTGGAAAGTCAAAACCTTTCACTAATATTTCCAAAAGCTGAATGTTTGCACTTTTCTATTTTGTCTTTTTCTTCCCACTGGGAGAGAAGGCTTTCCTCGTTGTGTTCCCACTGGGAATATTTAAAGGGTATACTTACTTTTTTTTAATTAAAAATACAGGAAGCAAAGTAATTTCAATTTGTGTCAGCCTAAAACCAGCCTACCATATTTTTCTGTTTGACTGTTGAGCTTAAAACCAGCTCTTACCCAGCTCCTGTTTCTCTCTGTGCTGTGGTTGTGGTTTGGGTTGCTACAAAGCTATTTAGTTGAGCCCCACCTATAGCTATGGCACTTTTTTTTTTTTCCTGGGGTGGTTGTAACATATCACCTCTTTTCTCTGATTTTATTCAGGCAGGCAAATTTGACATCATCCCAACCATGACCACAATCGGGTCCGGAATTGGTATTTTTGGAGTGGTAAGTTCAGATATTTCCAGCCTCTTTATGGAGACTCAAATTATTCTCCTTGCCTGTGACATCCATGGGGAAGTGTCCCTGAGCAGCAGTGAAATACTGGTTCCCACTCAGGCAACAGGGGATGGGCAAAAGGGGGAAAGGAGGTGCTCTCCTGCCTCACTAGCTCAGGAGGATAGATTCCTGAAAAAAAATCCTGCTGCCCACCAGCTGATGTGAACTCTGCTAGCAGGAGCTGCTGCCCTGCGGAGTGAGGGGAAGCAGGCTTTCATGGCGGTGCCACGTCTTAGTATCTTGATGGTTTCAAGTTAGAGCCGGTACTGAGGGGGTTTTAGAGGTGATGGGCAGTATTTCATGCACAACAGAAAATCAATATCCTATTTGGTTGTGGTCATTTTGGTTTGGCATGACCCAAAGGGTGTTGTGCTCTGCGTATACCTGAAGTGGAAGCACTTAACTTCTGTTGACTTAAATTGCCCAGTATTGAACCCAGCACACTTCACTTCTGTCCTAAATGGACATTCAGGGGCTGTACGCTCTGTATCAGCTGGCACGTTGTGGGTTGAAGCAGAAGGGACCCTAATTTGTGGGGCAAACTGGAACAAGCTGGAAGTACAAGGTGGCACAGGTGAGCTGGGAGGGCAGCCCCAACACTAACTGCACTTTGATTTAAGGCCTCTGTCCTCTGCGACCTGCTCCTGCTTCATTTTCTCCAAGGACGGGACTATTACAAGCAGAAGAAATTCAAATATGCGGAACAGGAGCCTGTAAGTAACAGCACGTCCCTCCCCTGCAGAGGCTCTTGTGGGTGTGAGTGTGGATGCGTGCATGGGTAATGATGCTGTAACAGAAACAACATTTATACAATATATTGAGGAGCAACCAGGCACCTTCCTGAGCTAGTGGTAATCCTGAGCCCTTGGGACTGTCAGAGATTGGGATCCATGAATCTCCTCTCCAAAATTATAGAGATCTTCTGTGTGACTCGCTATTAATAGCTTTATTCCCTCCCTTTATCCCCAGATATTCCAGTATCTGTTAACACTTGCATTGCTTTAATGGAAGCAGAGACAGACCAGTGCCTTAGCAAACTGGAAAATGTCCCCTTTTCTGCTTTCTGAGAACATCTCCATGACTCTGGGATGTTTCGTGGCGTTTCATAGGATGTGAAAACAGCTCCCCTCAAATTAATTTGAAATTATGCTTATACATCGGGGGTTAGAAGTTGCTGTTCAACCACATTTTTCCCTGGCATTAGAAAGGGGCAGATCTGTAAAAGAATCATCGTTTTCTCTCATTTAACTCCCAGTCGAAGTCGCATAAGAAGGGAAAGGAGCTGGACAACACGCAGAGAGAGGTGAGTGGTGTTTCCCCAGCCCTGCTGGCATACGGCTGGCAGGGGTGAGGGCTATGGGTCTCAGGGCTATCCCAAGGCCCCTGGGAAGGCAGCAGGGCTCCAGGGAGGCATGGAGGAGATCTGAGTTGTGGGCTGTAATGCCTAACCGGGGGTCAGCATTTGCCAGGGCAGGTAGGCTCATGGGGCAGCACTGGGTGCAGGATGAGGGATTGACATCGCATCTTCGATGGCGGCATCACTTAAAGAGGGGCAGTGGGGGGCAAGACACCAGAAATCACTGTGCACCTCTCTCTCTTGGCAGAATCCACACTGACTGATGAACTTGCACCCTCTTCCTCCTCTTCTTCCTCTCCTGAAACACGGTCATCATCCCCTGTCACCAGCCTGCACTAGCCCCAAGGCCAGCAGAAGCAGTGTCCAACACCAGCTCATGGGAATGTGGCACCCTGCAGCCAGGGCAGGGTCCGGCTGGCCGGGCGCTCTGCCTCTGGTGGGACACGCTGCGATGCTGTGGGTGGGTTAAACTCGTGTTGGGCATCAGGGAGCCACTAAGGCAACCTCGGGGCCCTCCACCAGACCTGCTGCAGGGCACCGGGGTCTGCCGCCTTTGCAGGCACTTCTGCACCTGCCTGGTGTGCCAGGGCCATGCCAGGGCATCCCACACCCTGAAGCCCCCGGGGAGAGCATCGCTGCCTCTCCTTCCCCAGCAGCACCCTTGGACAGCTCCAAATTGAAGAGAGTGGGAGGGAAGGCGAGCTGGCAAGAACCATGCCCAGTCCCTCAGCATGGGAGAAAAATGGTTATTTTGTAAGAATGTATTTTATTAAAAAAAATAAACCTTTAGTTTTTCTACTACATCCCTTTGCAGTGCCCATGCTTGCCCCGGGGCGCGGGGTATGCCGTGCTTTTCAGCACTGGGGGGGTTTGTGCATGCAAAGCAATCCTGTAAATCCGGCTGGAGCATGGGGCCTCTGCGATGGGCTCAGTGCAGGTTCCCCCAGGCTCTGCCTTCCCATGCAGGGCCCCTGGGCCTCCAGCCATGAGCAGGGGTTGTTATCGGGGTTGTTATCAGGGTTGTCACTTGGGTTTCCTCCTCAGACAAGCTGGCTGACGGAGAGCGCTGGCGCACTGCCAGCCATCCAGAACGGCTGCCCTGTGCCAGCTCTGCCTCCTGCTGCTCATGCCCGTCAGTATTAGCCGGTCAGAATTAAGCTTCTCAGTGGTAGCCTCACAAACCAGCTCTTTGCACCCAGGAACAAAACTTCCCCTCTCTGCTAGAAGATTTGCCCTACTCAGCCTGTGCAGTTGGACATCATGAACTATGCCCAAGCCCCACATCTCTACGAGCAGCCCCTGTCCTGTGCTGCTGGCTCTGTTCAGTTCTCCAGGATGCATCAGCACAGACTTTCTGCACAGTCTCTCTCTGAACGTCATTTTGCACCCCCTGGAGGAAATTTTGCCTTGGTCACTTCAAAACTGGATCCCAGCTGCCATGGGAAAGTCAGTAAAGAAGCTATAGGGATTGCCCTGCCTGTGGCTGCAACGCTGCTGACTGTGGTGGGGAGCATGAACTGGCAGCCTGTAGGATGGATGCACCGCACTGGGCTCGCAGGGACACACAGGCACATGCCACAGACAGTTGCAGGTGGTATTTGGTCATAAGCTCAACAAACATTTCAAGCCGTACATTCCCCCTGGGGAGATTATTTGCTCTCAGAAGGATGCCTCAGCTTTCACAGGCAGGGGTTTTTATTTAGATTATCCATTTGGCTAACTTTTCCACCATTTCTCATGATGCCGTCCTGTGTAAGAGAGATGCCAGGTGCTTATATTAAAGATGCAGAGATGAGGGTGAGGGAAAGCTCCCCGGTCTCCGAAGGAGCTAGCGTCTTCTTAGTGGGCACGGAGGGCGTGGGGCTGGTGGCATCCCTGCGCAGCGTGCGCTCTCCTCCAGCGCTCATCGAGACGGAGCACTGCACAGTCGCCTGTCTAGCGCGACGGTGCAGCTCTCCAGCAAGCTGCAACCAGCAGAGGGAACCGGAAGACCATTGCACACATACATGGCTCGGGAAAATTCAGTTGCCAAAGATCAGAGGCAGCGAAGCGAGAGTGCTCAGGTAACCTTTCGCACCCACTTAAACTGGGTCAATCTCCAGTCATAACTTAAAATAACCAGTGCAAGGCTGCAGGTAGAGCAGGGAGTTGTTTCTGCCTGCTTAATCTTTCAAGCTGCTTGTAATGCAAAGCCCCTATTCTTTCCTAGGAGGTATTAAAAGGCAGAATAAGAAATTCGGGAAAATGCTACTTGTAAATGATCCCCTGCAGTTGCTATTCAAAACTCTGAGCTGGGATCCCTAAAAGTCCCAAGACTGCTTGAAAAATCGTGGGAAGGTTTATTTTCTTTTCCTTGCTTGCTTTTTTTAAATACACGGTCTTTGGGGATCCTTTGCTTTTCATTTGCCAACCATCTCTGCAACCAGCAGAATGAGATACTGTAATTTTAATTCTCTCACCAAAACAAGCTCCTCCTCTAAGACAGGGCCCCCAGGGCCCGTGGCTTTCAGTTGGGCACCATGCAGAGCGATAGGTGTCTGGAGGAAACTGAGCAAGTGTCTAATTTTAATATACGCTGCTCCCCTCTGCAGTATGAAAAGGCAGGGAAAGCCCACGGCAATTGTTTCGGTCCCTCCTTTTGCCAGAGGGGCTGGAGCTGGTGCTCAGGGGTGGGAGAGCAAGGAGGAAGGGCTGGTCTGCTCAGCTCCGCATGCTTCAGCGCAAGTCCCAGTGTGGAGGTGTGGGTGACCAGCAGGACCGTCCTCCTCTCCTCTTGGTTTGACCTACTCTTGCTCTTAAGGTCAGGGAAGAATTTCCTGTGTTTGGCATCTGTCGTGGCCAGAAAGCAACTGTATTTGAAGCTGTAAAAATGCAGCCAGTGTATCCTGCTGCTCTCTGACCTCTGAGCAGCGAGCCAAAGTGTCACAGAAACCCAAAGGGATTCGGTCATTGTGCAAAGACCCCTTTGATGACAGTTTGCTGTGTAGCTTCCTGTTTATGCTGTAACAATTGAGGATTTGGTTTTGTTTTTTTGAACTCCTTGTTTAATTGCATTTTGCTTTTTACATGGTTATTTAACTACTAGAAAAGTACTAGTAGAAAAGGAACCTTCAGCAAAGCAAACACTGCCTTTCAGCCAGAAAACACACAAGAAAAAAATATATATTCTCCAGCTAATCCCTAATCATTACAAACAGCACTAACAAGCCCTTGTATGTGAAGTTGTCAGTATAGTGCTCTAAGGGTCTAACAGGGGACTCTTGTCCAATCATCAGTGTCAGACGCAGAGAGTGAGCCATGAGTGCAGTGTCACTATTCTCATTTTACAGAACCCGAGACACAAGCAAATAATTTCTGAACATGTATGCAAATGCGGTGAGCAGATTCTGCCTCTGAACAGTTATTATTATCTGTGAAGGTTACCAGGTTGGACCTGGTACAAATATATCTTTTCATCCCCTCAGGCGTGGTTACTCTGAAAGAAATCAAGTGGCACAGATATTCCAGAAGAGCAATTGCAGAAAAACTTATTCTGCAGTAATTATGCTGGTTAGTGATGCTGCAGAGATGAGGAATTATATTTCAACCTCTGCAGAGCTGGCAACATTTAATCATTATGTTTGCGCACAATTCCCAGCACAATGAGGCCCTGATTTCCACCTGGTGCTTCCAGACACTATAACAATGCAAATTATAAAGGAATAATACTAAAGAAAGAGATAGCTCCTTCCCCGTGCTCTCTCCCCTATCTCTAAGCCCACTCGTTCTTTCTCTGGCACAGCAGACTCCCTTTTATTTTTAACCCAGTCCTCCACTTAGGACATTCTTGGATTTTTCCCTAAAAAAGCACCTACCTTTCTGGTTACGCTAATTCCCTTTCTCTTTTGATGTGGGAACACGTTTTCAGTCGAATAAATCCCCTGGCTGACACACAGTGAAGGACTGACAGGAACATTTATGTCCTCCCAGCTCTAAATGATGCTTTTATTTCCTTCTGTCCCAAAGACGTGCATTCTCGGCCCAGATTGTGCTGGGTGGCGAAAGGACCCTCTTTGCCATTACAGCCTCAGACATCT